GCAAGATGTTGTAAGTTTAGGTGGAACTGTAAAATCTGGCTGCACAAGCTGAGGTCAATTTTTCCTGTCATCTCTTGGGAGCAGAAATGTACGAACAAGCAAAATAGATAATCTCATGCAGAAGAAAATGTTGTGCTGTAAATATTGGAGCAAAATGTTCTCCATTTGTTTACATGTATAACGTTAAATTCTGAGATTCTGTGAATGTGATCCACACACAACTGACATAACAGCATTACATCAGTAATAACACGGACAGGACGGCTCTTACTTTTTTCTCTCGTAGAAATGTTTTCCGATGTGGGAAGGCAGCAGGCGGCGAATGCGGGCATCAGAAAGAAACAGATCAAAGTTCCCCAGCAGGCGGCGCTTAGCCTCATACGGTTTATACTCTGTCTTCAACACCTTGTATGGAATGATCTGCCAAAGACACACAGACACACGATTATTTTCAGTATTTACAGAGGTGTTATTGTAGAATAAAAACCTTTTAAGATGGTACTAAAGCTGTGCAATAATCGGTTTCCAAATAAAAATGAAACTAAATGCCTGCAATTGGAGATATACGAGGTAGGGCTATTAAAGGATGGGGCTAATGCGGAAATTGAATCTTTTTTAATTTGAAAAGACAAAGACTTTCTAGGTTTGTATATGACATAGTTTATCTATGGGTATTTAATGGCCATACTGCGTACATTTTACAAGTCTGCTCCAGACTTTCAAAAATTAAAACCACACAAAACATGACAGCACTTTAGTATGGACACAAATATGCATTAACATAAGGCCTGTAAATCACACGATGGCACTGTGAGCGTAGTGAACAGTGAATGTGTACTGTGTGTGTTTGAGACTATGTGTGTGCGAAATGTGCACTGTTTATTACTTCTTTTAATTTATTTCTACTTTATATTTTTTTTACTTTGTAACATTTTTCTACTTTCAACATATTCATCAAGCACGGTGCACTTAAACTTAGTTGTATGTCTAAACAATGACAATAAAGAATCTGAATCAAATTATATAATCTGTCAGGAAGATAGCAATTAGACATTTTCCTCTAATCATCTATTCCTCATTGGTATAACAACACAAGTAGTTAGTCAGAGTAAGGATGTATAACTCACTGTGGTTGATAAACTAACCTTGAAATCCTGAATGTACATTATAGTTAATAGTGCATTTACTCCAGTTAAACACTGTGGCTGTATTCCAGATCACACTTTTTTCTTTTAGTGTGCACTACAGCCACCCTTACAAAGTACTCACTCTTTCATGCTGTATGCATACATTTGGAACATTCAACTTTGTCATAACTATGTGCCTTAAACTTTAACCATTGCAGTCGTGTGAGCGGTCATCGGTCTGTGTGTTGTAGGTGGCTCAAGCTTGTTTATACTCGCATGGGACACTGTGACCTAACAGCACAGAGGATTGTGGGTCAGAATGACCAGAAAAGCAAGATGGCTTGCTTTCTCCAAAATCTGTATAGATATAGTAGGACCGCCGGTATTTTGGCCATTCTATGTTTTGGAATACTGCACACCTTTTTATGTCATGCAGCTGTTAATGCTGAAATGATCAAAGTGGCTGTTGTCACTGCTTCATAAACTCTATGACTGGCAGGTACCTCAGATATGTTTTTGACACCTTTCTCCTCAAGGAACTTCTTATAAAACCTCTGGGTCTGCTCTGAGGTCATCTTGGGCTCATCTCTGGTGAAGAGGCAAATCTCATCTGTGTCAGTCCGCTGGCCATGAGGCAAAGGACTACAACAAACAAACAACAAGACAATTACGAAAAAAGCCAAAAGCAATTACCCCTGATCAGATGTAGGAAAATAACTGCTAGAGAAGAAGTCCAGGCAGGATCGTGTGTCTGTGTGCTGGACTCACATGCGGATGGTCTGTGGCTTTTTAGGGATCTTCCACAGGGTGAAGAGAAGGGTGACCTGCTGTGTCTCGTCCAGGAACAGCGACTCGCCAGAGGCTTTGGTTTTGAGGAAAGCCTGCAAAGCCTGGACGGCCTTCTTCACCTGTCAAGACACATTAATGCAAGTTAGAAACCAAAATACTAATTCACCGTTCAACAGTTTTTTTTTTCTTCCAGGGATCCATGCAGAGCTGCTGTGAATTAGCTTAGCTTCGAGGCTAAACCCCCGTTAGCCAGCACACAAATCAAGCAACTGTTGATACATAATAATATATTTTATCATTACCATGTAAGAAACACTTCTACTACCCAACATGTGATGATTAAAGACTTTAAATATATTACAGCGAGATGGAAGAAACTTTTACCTGAGCCCGGTCTAGTGCGACTTCTGTTTTTTCAGCCATGCTGCCTGCTTCACGTGTAGTCGGCACGCACGCATGCGCAATGCTAACGCTCTACGTCACGTAATACAAACTTCACAACTTTATTTGTACGACAAAACTGAACAATTACAGCCAACATGCCAACTGGTTTAAAATGAATTCTTTATTTGAGTGAAAAAGTAGAATTTATATATGACCACCTAATTTGAAAAACGGAGGTTTGTGAAATATAACTCACAATAAAAAATGAAAATATAGGGGAGTTTAAAAGGGTAAAAATAGCATCTTTGTGAAATTATTATTAATAGTTTGTCATAAGATTATTATTGTTATATCTTGTGATAAACTATGCATTCTAATATGTTTGTTAAAAAAATACAACAAAGGGCATAGGTTTCATCTGAACACTGGACAGGGGCTCGAGGTCAAAAAATTTATTTTCTGCATTCATGTGATTTTTTTATGCACCAACTTGTGTCTTTTTTGCAACGATTTATGATGAAAATGTTTTTTATATATATGTAAAGGAAAATACAACATTCATTGGACATCAGGTAACAACTACAAATTGCAGTAACGCTGCATTTCTGTATTACTTTCAATTATTTATCCTCCTATAAATCAACTTTTCTCATTTCATATCATTCCTGCTGAGCTGACACACTATCAGTTGGATTTACTCTTGCATCTGCTTGTGTTTGGGGTTATTTCCAAAGGTGGCATGTGGTTTTATTAGGGAGGACAGATCCAAGTGTTATATTGAAAGAGACATAACCTCTGTGTCTCCTCCTTTAACCTACATTTTTCAAGGATAAGAATCTTATAGTCTCTCGGTGATGGTGTCAGGTTTAATGTCCTGCTTCACCTGTTCATAAATAAAGTGGGCAAGAAACTGAACAAGTGGATGTCTGGTGCAGCAGCTCCAGCAGGTGTATAAATGGGTGAAAAGGATGTAGAATTAGAAAGTCCTTTGTCTGTTAAGGCAGAGATGTGCCTTATACGTGCATTCAATCTACCATTCCACACATACACACATTCCATCCCTATTGTGAATATGTACTAGAAATAAAACATGCACACCGTTCTGTTTCAGCTTGATCATTTATTTTTCATTTTAGATTATGTAACAGCTGTGTGTGTGTCTGTCTGTGTGAGTGTGTTTATCCTTGGTTCATCAGAGTAGTATGTGAGCTCAATCCAATTAAACCATCTCATGTGGAGAGAGACCAAACTAAAAATTTTGGTACAGCAATCCTTAAAACCAAATAAAATGTCCACTGGATTCCCACTCTTGAAAAGGGAGATGCAAATTATAATTACAGGCTAACTCTGGTCTTTTGCAGGACATGAAATCATTCTGAAGGTTTTTTTTTTTCTTCCCCAAACTCAGTAACACTGCATCCATCTCCATTCTAAAAACAAATGGCGTGGCCAGCCGACAGCGCGGTTAGCCCTGGGAGTACAGAAGGGGGACATGTAGCTACATTAGTGGCATAGCTGAGCTCTCAATATGAGAAAGCTGACACACTGGACTTGGTCTCTCATTTCGTATTGTTCATCATAAAAACTGATTCAGTCTTATTTTCTTCATTTGACGTGATTTTATTCTCCTCCTTCTACCCTCCTTGTTGTTCTTCTCTTCAGCATAGTTGTGTATAAAGAGAGAGTAGCTGTTTGGGTCGGCTCTAGCAGCGTTTCTCCTCTGGTAGCGAGTGGAAGAACTCCATGCATGCTGCCATTGTTGCATTTAGTCCTTTTCTGGCACCAGCTTCAGCACTTTGCCAATAGCGATAGTTTTGCCTGGTGATATGAAGAGAAGTGAGGGACCAAATTATGTTTTTGTATCACTAGAAAGATCAGCCAGACGTGCATAAAAGTTACGTAACATGCTAGTAATAATAGTCAAACTGTCTTGCAAACAAACACCCACGGCGTTCTTACCTTCGTCTCGCAGAGTGAATCGCCCCATCTGAGGGAAATCTTTGAAGGTTTCTAAGCAGATGACTCCTGCTGCCCTCAGCCTGGCGATGCACACCTGGTCCTGCTTAACAAAGCGTGGTCGTGTTTTGCTTTTCTCCCCCGTCTTCTTGTCCACCAGGCAGATTAAGGCCTGTGGTTGCAATTAGATGAGATTAACCACAGTCTAGTTGGAACAGGAGGCGATCAAACACCACTCGCTGAGCAAATTAAATAATTCAAACATATTCTAGTCATGTCAAAAATGTTGTTCTGTAGAGCAACAACTTACTGTGATTTGCACTTCTTCAATGCAGGTGTGGATGTGAAGGACTGCATTGTAACCAGGACATATGATTGATTTGTGCTCGATGATGACGATCTGAAAAGAATGAAATGAAATGAGAAAGATGGGGCTTTTAGAGAAAAAAACAAACAAAATACAGTTGATTTCACTGACTAACCCACCAACTATTTTTTTACTTTTGAGTACTTAAAACACAACAAAGACTATATGCTAATTCATGTGTGTGTATAGTATGATCCCAGGGCTGCACAAATACAGTGACAACGATAATCACAATCATGATTATTCACTAATTTTTAGGGCCAAAACGTTTTTATTGTACTTTCACATTTAAATGGAGCACTTTTTCCACTTCCATGTTGTTCTTACATTCCTGCTAATGTACAAATCTTTGTGACTCAAAATAATATTCTCCAATTAAGTTGTTCTTATGTCAGAAGCCAAAAGAAAGTAATTTTATCGACATGGTCTGTTTTCTAAGAGTGGAGTCTTCTATGAGCAGTGCAAACCTTTTAAAAAAACATATTATGTATATGCTTAAAGGTTTATAATTGTTTATTTGGGATCTAAAATAGGTTTACATGCTTTAATATTCAAAAAACAATATTCTTCTCATACTGTACATTGCTGCAGCACCTCCTCTCATTCTCTGTCTGCAACACTCTGTTCTAGCTCCTGTCTCTCTAAGGTCTCCATCCCCAAAGGCCCAGTCTGCTCTAATTGGTCAGCTGGCCCGACAAAAGCGAGGTAATGATGGTTATGTACTGAACCCCAGATCTATGAGTACAGGCAGAAAGAGAAAACTCTAGCAGAAGCTGTACTGGTGAGAAAATATTGGGGGGACTGTTAGGGAACTGGCTTATTTTTTGTTCGAGCTGTCATAAAAAAACTAATGGAAGAAGTGTCTTGTGCAGGTAAGAAGTAGTGTTTGCTGTGAGAGAGAACAGCTCGCTTTAGCATGGACTCAGGTTTTGTTTGCAGATCTTTTGCATGCATGAAAACCAGCTATACAACACAATACAGGAATGTGAACAACCTGGAAATCCCAATATGGACTCTTCAGCTGTTAATATTCCAGTGGATCATGTTGATTGAATTGTGGGAACGCCAACATCATGATTGTAATTAATATTCAATTAACGGTGCAGCCCTAGTGTGATCTGTTCAAATGGTTTGTTTTCATTAGAACTCTTTTCAAGCCTGAAGAAAAATCATTACAAAAGAAAAACAGAAAGATTAGAGACTTGGAGATTATTTTGTGCAGAAAGTTAAATTAGTTTCTTATTTTATACCCAGAAGCTGAAAGCCGCTGAACCCACATCCTCTGATTGACTCAAAGCAAGCTACAACATTAAAACCTGCATCGTGGTACGTGCTAGTAAAGTGCGTCTTGAGCGAGTCTTGTAAAGAAATCCCCCATTTCCTAAAGTTTATCACTGCTGCTCTCTGTGCATTTTCTCTAAACAATAAACAATAAATCAAACCACAACAGACACACTGGTGACTGGCTGGCTTTTAACAGCGGCTCGGTATAAATGTCTGGGTTGAAAACGAAACATTTCGCAGCGCAACAATCCCGCCCACAAAGACTGTGCTTGGACAGACCTTAACCCCAATCATTTGTTGCTGTTGCTATGCCAACCTAGAGAAGGATACATTTACTTTAGTGTTTTATTTGAGAGAGCAGCACACAAAGACATCAATAGATTAAATACAGGGGCGTGTGGTGAGGAGTTTATCTGGAACAAATGAGAACTAATCAAGCCTGTGGCTGTCTGAACCTTCAGCTCGAAGAGTTTGATTTAAAATCTCAGTCAGATGTCGTATACCAGCGTACAGAGACTATGATGGTCTGGTCTTTACCTGTGCATCAAAGGTGCGACCAGAGTGGCAGAGGTTGTCGGGGCTACAGAGAATAAAACCAGGGAGGATTTCTTCCTCCTCAATGCCCTTCAGCCTCAGCTTTAGGTTCTCCCCAGGACCTGCATCGTCTGTCTCCACGTCGTCGCTCAGCAGGCTCAGTACCTCCACTGTGTGCTGCAACAAACACACAGAATTACTAGTGAATGTTGTAAATGAGGACAATGTTGCTGTACTGAAACAAGAAGTCTCATTAGAAGAGAAACGGAATATGTGTGGTTACAGGACCCCCTTTCACTTCAGGCTGCAGTACATCCAGTACTAGAATGAGGGCTTCACGTTATTTCAAGTAGACAGCTTATTGGTCCCTTGGGAGACTGAGCAAAGTCATGCAGAGGAGAACTCACCCTGTTCGGCATCATGACCAGCTGCTGGGCTTTACTGATGCATCCAGACTCCAGCTTGCCGAGGATAACTGTTCCCATATCCTGCAAACCAACGTTGAAAGAGATCAACGTTAACCATCAGTGAGTTTTGAAAAATACTGGTCATTTTACATATGTATAAATATATATATAAATATTTAGGGGGCTTTTTTGCCTTTATTCAGAGCAGTAGAGATAGACAGGAAAGAGGGGAGAAGAATGGGGAGAGGGAGTCGAACTCACGACCGCTTGGTCAGGGAACTATAGCCCCTGTGCTACAGGGACGCCCAACACATTAGTCATTTTTAATATAATGGAGAAGTTACTGAAACAAAGACAAGAATCCTTGACTTTGTTCAAATAAGCAACGTGTTGAAACAAAACACACAAGAACATATATCCTGTCTCATGAGTGTGGACCACAGTTCACACATGTTGCTTTACATTGTCAACTGAATGCACTTTTAAAAAAATACAGTATATATTGCTGCTAACTGAAACTCATGT